GAGGGTGGCGGCTGGGACCGGGAGGCGCAGCCCTGCGACATGAGGGCCCCGCCGGGTCCGTCCTGAGCCCCGAGGTCGCGGCGTCTCCGCGGGTCACGGGGCCCGGGGCTGGGCACGGGCGGGGCGGCTGAGCCCACGGGCCCCGCGGTGGTTGCCGGGCTCCCGACAGGCCGCTGTTTCCACAGGTTCCTGCACTTGCGGGTCGCTTAGGGGCGCCGTTTTGTGGGGCATGTTTCAGGGCCTCGCACTCCGGTTTGCTTTTTTTAATGTTCTCTTTTTTTTTTTGAATCCTCACCCAAGTGTGATTTTATCAGTTTTAGAGGCACGAAGGAAGAGAGACAGAGAGAAGCTTCCCTGTGAGCGGGAGACAGCGGCTGGCGGCCTCCTGTATGTGCCCCGCCAGCCAGGCATTGAGCCCGCAACCTGGGTGCGCGCCCCGCGAGTCCAGTCCGCCCCCCCCGCCTTTCAGTTTTGGGATGAAGCTCCCACCAGCTGAGCCACACTGGCGGGGGCGGTGCCTCGCCCTCTCCCGACGTCTGAGGCAGTGGTGTCCCCTCACTGCTGTGCCCCTCTCCCGGTCATTGGGGCTGGGGACCTTAAACAGACACCGAGCCCGGTGTCGACCTAAGAAACGACCAACCTGTAAGGAGGGTTGTTTTTTTTTTAGCTCATTTTTACCAAACTGACTACAGTTGCTGGGAAGCGAAATCTCTGTGGATTGAGGAAATGCTCTGGAAAAAGGCAGTTTTGCAGCTTGCTCATACGTTACAATCAAAAGGGAAGGCCAAGTGGGTTACCCGAATTTCACTGGTGATAGATTAGGGAGGTGGGAGAAAGCAAAGTTAGAAAACCTCTGGGATTGGATAAAAAAGTAAAGTGATAGACATACTTTTTTTCATAGGTGGATACCCGGTAGTTAACAGCCAAAATTAACATGATAATAATAACAATGGAGATTTGTCGTCTCTGCTAGGGTGAGCTTGTTGCTTTGAGGGGTCTGGAAAAGAGGAAATTTCTTTGTTATTGCAAAGGCCTTTTCTCAGGTATGTTTTCCTAGATGCAAAAAGACAAGTTAAGGTGAAGGTTGATCTTTGTTAGGGAAAAACATTGCCTTAGAACAAGACTACCCCCCATGATCTTGCATTTAGCTAAAAAGTTCTCATCTCAGCCCAGCTGGGCATGGCCCAGCAGTTGAGCATCCATCTAGGATCCAGGAGATAACGGTTCGATTCCCTGTCAGGGCACATCCCGGGGTTGCGGGCTCCATCCCCAGTCGGGGGCATGCAGAAGGCAGTGGATCAATGACGACTCTCATTGCTGATGTTTCTATCTCCCTCTCCCTTCCTCTCTCTGAAATCTATAAAGATATATTAAAAAAGGAAAAAAGTTCTCATTTCAGACCATCCTATGTGGTTACTTTTGGTCTCTGAGTTTGTAAGGCCTCCCCTGAGCTTGTGAGGTTTAATATGTGGCCGCTTTTTGTCCACACATCCCCCTATGGGTAGTAAATCAATCCAAAGGATGCATTAATGGCCAACTTTTTGGTAAGATAACGAGGTCTCACAGTGGTAGGAAGGCCCATTCTTAGGAGTTCTCCTTGGCACTGTTTGTCTTGACGAACAATGGGTCATTGGGGATGGGGCAAGACAGTAACCTTGGATAGAAGTCAAGGCCAAATTTTTTCTTTTTTTCAAAAGGGAAAAGTAGGTAAATGAGAGGCAGTCAAGTCTTATGGGCCTTTATTAAGAACATTCCAGATCATTTCTAACCAATAAGCTGTCATGATCCAGGTGGTGGTGGTGGTTTTTAAATTTTTTTTTTATCACCACAGGATATTTTTTCCAAATTTTTTTTCCCCCCCATATAGAAAGAGGAAGGAAAGGAGGAGGGGTGGAGGGGGAGGGAGGGAAACAAACATCCATATGAGAGAGACACATCGATTGGTTGCTCCAATCAAGTCGGGCTGGAATCGAACCTGCAGCTGAGGTACTTCCCTTCTGTCTGTGGGCTGGCTCTGTAACCACTGAGCAAACCGACCAGAGCCATGATCCAGATTTTGTTGCCTGTCTCACTTTTCTGTGTTTTGCATCTATTATGACATTTATTTACACTTTGAGGGCTAACTATACACCTTTTCAGTTTTCATAATTTGACCATGAGATGGGTTTTTATTTTCCATGGCCCATTTACTTCCCATTGGAAGCACTCAGGTGCTGTTACTAATCTGATTTCCATTAGTTATGCAGTTGGAAGCTGTAACTTTTAAGTTTTAATTAGGGCCAAGGCTGTAAGAACAAAATGCTGTAAATGACTATTATCATCTAAAATTCCAGAGGCCAGGAGGATAGTAGAAGTTTTAAAAGTAAATTTCCTGTGTCAGCAGCAGTAATGGAAGGCATGTTTTTAATAGCCATTTTAGCTTCTATCTGAACTAACATTGTAGTCTTTGTTGGGTTGGGGGTAGGTTAGTACATGCACATTAATAGGTTCTAGTGTCTATATATAAAATTCTTTAATTTTTCCACTAACTTTCTACAGCTTCTCTGTTCTTAATTTGTCTTTTTTTATGCATTCAGAAATAACCAACTTATTAGGACAAACTACTTTCTTTTAACTTCTCTTTTAACACTAGCCAGTTTTGCTCAGTGGTTAGAGCGCTGGCCCACAGACTGAAGGGTTGAGGGTCCAATTCACCATCAAGGGCATGTACCTCTGTTGTAGGCTCGATTTCCGGCCCCATTGGGGCACCTGTGGGAGGCAACCAATCAATATGTCTCACATCAATGTTTCTCTCTCTCTCCTTCCCCTTCCTTCCTCCCTTCCACTTTCTCTAAAAGTCAATGGGGGGGGAATTTTATATCCCTTTCCTTCCTTTTGCAAGCATTTTTTTCTAAATTTCAAAAGAGAAACCATAAAGAGTAATATTGATAATACAAAAGTTATACACCTTCAGCAATTATTAATATTAGCAGACAGATAAAGACAATTAATGTTTAATATCAATATGTAGGTATAAAGGCCTTGTCGATGTCTTGGGTTGGGTGTCTATCTCTGATGTCGTTGGCTTCTCATCCTCAAGAAGTCTTTGATCTCTGCTGCATGTCAATTTATGGTTATGTATCTGATAAGGTCCCTTTCAATAATATTGGAGAGAGTCTTTAGTTAATGTATTTTCTAATGGACAAAAATCTCCTAGTTGTAAGTTGTGGTCTCTGAAGTCTTTGTCTCCCAGGAGCACCCTGTGAAATCAATGTTACTGATTTATCAGTCCCTGTAAGCTGGTTAATGAACCCTTGGTGATAATGCAAAATGTCTCCTTTTAGTAAAATTGATTCATATGTGCCTTTATCAAGATTCATAGGGTGGTTGGTGACTATTTCATAAGGAGAAAGGCTATGTTTATTAAAAGAAGTAGATTTCAGTCCTACCCGGTTTTGCCCCATGGTTAGAGCATCCGCCCTCAGATTGAAGGGTGAAGGGTTTGATTCCAGCCCAGGGCATGTGCCTCTATTGCAGGCTCGATGCCTGGCCAGGTCAGTGCGGAGGCAACCAGTCGATGTGTCTCTCTCACATCGATGTTCCCACCTTCCACTCTCTCTGAAAAACAGTGGAAAAAAATACCCTTGGGTGAGGATTGAAAAAAAAGATTTCAGGTTGAGGATCAGTATAGCAAAAGCTTTTGGCCAATGGAGATGAAAAGCTTCTAAAAATTTACCTAGTTGAGTTTTAATTGTACCATTTGTATGTCCCACCAATCAAGAGAACTGGGGGTGATAGGCATAATGAAAGTACTGTAGAATAGGCCAGGTGTTACAAATGGATTGTATTATTTCCTAGTAAAATGAGTCACTGTAACATAGAGGGAATTTTCCATTTGGGAGTTAATTTTTTTTAATCCTCACCTGAGGATATGTTTATATTGATTTTTATAGAGAGAAGAAGGGAGAGAGAGAAATATTGATGTGAGAAACATCCATCGGTTGCCTTCCATACATAGCCTGACTGGGGATTGAACCCACAACCTTTTGGTGTCGGGAACAGTGCTCCAACCAACTGAGCCACCCAGAAAAGGCATAAATTTTTTTTCCTGATAATTTACCTACCATTAAGGCTGTTGCTCTCCTGCACGAGAATCCCTCAACCCATACAAATATAACCCATATTTGTATTTTTGAGATAGTGGCATTTGTATAAAATCCAATTACCGTACCCCAAATGGATCTAAAGGATGTGGAAAATGTCCTTGGGACCCGTGGAATTATTTTCCAGGGTTATATTTGGACAGATATAGCAACATCTGCTATACACTTTGAGCTACAGTACTGGTAATATTGTTTACTTCATAAAAATCTTTTTAGGAACCAATTCCTTTAGCATATGTACATGTTAAAGCACAGATAAATAAGCTCCTATAGTTAAGATTGGTTTCTTACTGGATCCAAGTCCTATCTGTTTGTCAAGGACAAAGCCCTGCCCCCCCTTTTTACCTTTTTAAAATCATATTTCCTTGTGCCTGTCCATTGGAAGTACGAGTTTTTATGGGGTTTTTTTTTCTTTATTAATTTAATTGGAAATGAGGAGCATTCACAGGTTTGGATAATTTGGCTTCTTAATACTGCCTGCATTAGCTAAATAAATTCCTTTTGCTTCCATGGTGGCAACTTTAGAAAGTCCTGGAATTTTGATAATTGCCAATTTTTTCAGTTTCTGTATGACATCTAATAATTTTGCAACCCATTTTCCATTATTTATGGGCTGCCCTGAGAACATCTAGAAGCCTCAGTGCTTCAACAATATTCTAAAGTTGTGAGCTACACTGAAGGCATAGCTACTATCAGTGTAAATATTGGATATTTGACCTTTGGCTAATTGACAAATCTGAGTTAGAAAAATTAATTAAGCTTGTTGGGCAGGTCTTATTCTGGTAAATAAGAACTTTGAATTATGTCAACCATGGAAGTTATTGCATATCCAACTCAGTAACATCCCTATGTATCTTTCAAAGGTTCATCTGTAAAGCAAATTAAGTCAGTGTTATCAAGGAGTTTCCTATAAATCATTCCTAGGAACAAGAAGGTGGTCAGTAAGCAAAACATCAAAGAAAGTAGCAAAGTTGCTGGGTTAAGACTCTTACATAGAGTTCAAGTAATATGTGCAGAAGGCGATTACTAGGCGACTGAAAGAAGTGTTGAGTGTGATGAGGATTCAGTGGGGACTCAACAGAATCAGGAGCATAAACAAAGGACGGCCTATAACTGTCTTTTCTGTTTGTTTGCATAATATGTCTTTAGCAGAGATGGCTGTCATGCAGGGAGGGAGCCCTTTGGCTACTGAGTCTAGTTGCTGACTATAATAGCCTGCCCTATCAGGTGAATTGAGGCAGACTCGATTATATCTATATACATATACATATACATGTACATATACATATACATATACATATTGCCCTGTAACATTCCCACTTAAAANGTATACATATACATATACATGTACATATACATATACATATACATATACATATTGCCCTGTAACATTCCCACTTAAAAGAAGACAGGTTCTGGTTTAAAAACAGATATTGGTTGATTAGATAAGCTTTACTCCAGCTTAGTTAGGTGTGGTTAAGAACAGATAAAACAGTTGCATTATTTCAAGGGCTTTTGTAATTTTCCCCCTTTTTAGGGTAATTTTAATTTTCCTAAACTATTATCAAGGAGAAGGGGATACACCTCATAGTTCTTGGAACACCCCTATGCTTGCTTTTGTTTTTTGTTTTGTTTTTTTCTTTCTTTCTAAATCCCAATTTAGTTCCTTATAATTCTTCTTAAGGTAAGCAGACTTCTCTACAGGAGTTTTCCTGTGAATCGTGTTTGGTAATTCTCTTGCTTTTGCTCCCCAAAAACTAGTAGGTTTATTAATTGGAAGAGGTCAGAATTACTTGTTCTAACAGTTAAATTCCTTTGTGAACCTATCAGTCTCCCAGAGAAAATCGGGGAACAATTACTGCTTCCTTTCTGGCTGAGACCAGCTTTTCTCCAAAGTGTGTGGCAGTCAGGTTGGTGGATTAGCTTATGGGCATAAGTGGTCATCTGTGAAACTCAACTGGGCATGGGATAGAGGGCAACTGAGGCTGGGCCTTGAGTTAGGGTGAGGTGAAGAGAGGAAGGCTTTCAGTGGTAAATGTATAACAAGTGTAGCACTAGGGCAGGACAACTGTGGATATCTGAGATCTGATGTGGTTCTCAATAGGTGACTTTGAAGTAAGGAATAGTCAGGGATGGAGGCCTTCATATCAGAACTCAAGGCTGCCTATGTCAGTGGGTACCATCAGAGTCAGCGTAGTACTTAACCCTGTTTGAACATGCCAGGCACTCTCTGGACCATATATGCTGATAACGAGTAGAGAGGCAAGGAGATGACTGGTGCAGGGCAGGAGGAGGGCGGGGCTGTGGAAATTCAACTGTGAGACAGGCGTGGTAGTACTTGGAGACTGAGTGTGAATTTATGTTTCATGGGCCCTGCCTTTGACATAAGAGTGAATGAAGGGTGTGTCCATTTCTGGTGGTGTCTGCATGATATGATGTGAGGAATTTTAGGGGAACTGCCTGAAAAGAGGGGGTATTGGGGTATTGTTACTACATGCCAGGTTCAAAGTGTAGATGTGATTTATTTGCCCATCTCTTTATTATTGTTAAGTGATGTTATAGTGATCAATAGAACCTCAATGAGATAACATACATCAGTGCCACGTGGTCTTAAAAATCTCCACTGGCCTGGAGAAGGGAGCATGGTAAATGAAATAGGTAAGGGCGGTGGTGAAATTAGAATCCTAGGAAAGAAGCTGATCAAGGATCCTAGTGTCCCCATCATGGCATGTTTGTGTTACCTTTGTAATTGTGCTTCTGGAAATGTAGCTGTGTGAGAGACGTGTGGTTGAAAGAATTATGTGCAGGGGATAGTGCAGACTCAGGGCTCTGGGATTGAGATTTTAAGGTGAAGGGTGATGCCATGTTTTTTGTGTCTTGGAAGGACAGGGGGACCACAGGGATATTGCCTGACAAGACCAGTGTCAAATCACTCACACCCTCTCTATGGCCAACTTCTCTTTCTAAGCGATGTTTATGACACCCACTGTATTAATAGATGAGTGGCAGTTTGGCCTACATGCCAGGCCCAAAGCTCAGGAATCATCTATCCACCCATCTGCCTATTGTGCAAAGACACAGAATCAATGAGAATGTAAGGAGAGAATGACTCCTATGGTACAAAGGCCTGGAATCTTATCTGATGTGAGGAGTAGGGGAATCAGATGAATGTGGAGGGTGAGGGGTATGACAGATTTGGAATCCTAGGAGACAAACTGATCATGGAATAACTCCCCATTGTGACAGGATATGAACTTTGAGGACGTGGCCATCATCTTCTCCCAGGAGGAGTGGGGGCTCCTTGATGAGGCTCAGAGACTTCTGTACTGGGATCTGATGCTGGAAATCTTTGCACTTGTAGCATCCGTGGGTAAGACCTTCACAACTTTCCTAGTTTCCTGAGATGATGTTCTGCCTTGTCTTTTTCTGTCAGAGGTATCTTTGTTTGTCCCACGACTAGATCATGGGCTCAGCAAATTTCACCCCACTGTCTTGTCATGTGTGTGTGGCTGCCAGTGCTAAGCTTTGTGGAGTGCCTTGAACAATAAACTTCCCTGGATACTATTATATGCCAAGTTGCTCTAGGCCAGTGCTGCTGCTCCACTCTGTTGTCTTTCATTAACACTTTGCTTACTGGCTATTTTGAGCCAGAGCTGTCCCATGTGGCCGGCTACTTTTCCACTCTTTAAAAACTCTACATTGCTTTCAGACCTTAAGATTACTTAAGTTATTGTAAGTGCAGACATGAGTTATCTCGTGACTGGTCAGTATACACATGGAAACGTGTATACTTGTGACCTGTCAGCAAGTTAAGATTAATCATTCAGGTTTTGAGTAGTTGTACAATAGTGAGTGCAGGTAGTACCCTGGTTTTTTTCACTGGGTAGGTATACAAGCTGGTCTCAGAGGAGGCTTGGTCCTGGTGAGTGGCAACAGTGGAGGGGCCTGACATAAGGGTTGTTTTTAGATCATACCAAGAACCCCACCTTTGCCCCCCGTGTCCAGTAGTGTTTTGGTGCAAGTACCACTGGCCACACCTCTTTTCTAACTTTTCTTACCTGTACTTGACACTTTTCTGACTTGTCATTTCATCTGTGACTTCATGGCTACTGCCTACCTTCATGTTTGTGGCCTCCTTACACCACCTGTACTTTCACCTGCTCCCTCTGCAGTATTCTCCACACTGACCTAAGCATGTGTTACGACATTGGGTGCGTCCTTAAGTCGCCCATGGACACGAGCCCCGCATTTAGTGAATGCTCTGGGAGAAGGACGTAACCAGCCTTGTGCACAGCTCACCCGTGTCACCCACAGGCAAGCTCTGCTGGATGCTTCAGGGGAATTATGAGTTGGAGATCCTGCTTCTGTTCCATGTGGTGCACGCCGTCTTTGTGTTCTTTTTTGACGAGGCTGCCCCAATTTTCTGGTCTTCACAGGCCCAATAATGCACGGTAGCCCCTTTTTCAACCTATCTCTAGGGCCTTTATTTTTAGACAATCCTGTGGAACCAACCTATTATGTCTGACATCTTTGTAATGGGACTTACCCCTCAGACCAAAGTCCACAACCATTTCTTCATCATTTCTCTGCTTTCAGGTTGTTGGCATAAAACAGAAGATGATGAGACCCTTTCTAAGCAGAGTGTATCTGTTGAAGGAGAGTCACAGGTCCAGGCTTCTAAGACAGCTCCAGCAACACAGAAGACCAATCCCTGTGAATGGTATGTCTCAGACTTGAAAGATATTTTGCACCTGACTGAGTTCCAAGCAGCAAACTGTGAATCATTCTTCAGTGACGCATGTGTGAGACACTTCAGTTTCGGTGCAAACCCTCACCAGCAACAGAGGCATACCAGTGGAGAGAAGCTCTGGAAAGGAGTCATGGACGGGGCCTCGTTTGTGACCAGGAGCAGCTTCCCTGTATCAGGATTGCCTTTCACCTATGGGAAAGTTGGGGAGGACTTTCCAGCCATCTCAGGCTTTCATCAGCACCAGGCCACTTTTAAGACTGAAGAGTCACACAATTATAGTGATAGTTGGCAGGCCTTTCATGGTGGAAAAAGTAATCTCCAGTTAGGTGATTGTGGAAAACCTGCCAGCCAAAACCAGAAACTTGTTCAGTGTCAAAGTGTCTGTTCTAAAGAAGGGCTTTATGAGTGTAGCAAGTGTGAAAAAGCCTTTAGACAAATCTTTAACCTTATTCAACAAAGAACAGTTGACACTGAAGAGATATCTTACGAGTGTAGTGGATATGGGAAGTCCTTTAGTGAAAACTCTGGCCGAATTGAACAGCAGAGAGGTCACACTGAAGAAAAGCCGTATGAGTACAGTGTTGGTGGGAAATGCTTTAAACAATACACGAATCTTATTCAACACCATCAACTTTATTCTGAAAAAAATACTTTTGAGTGTGGTGAATGTGGGAAATCTTTTAGCTGCAAATCTTACATCCTTAGACACCAGAGAGTTCACACTGGAGAAAAGCCTTATGAGTGCACTGACTGTGGGAAGTGTTTTAGTCAAAGCTCTGCCCTCTGTAAACACCAAAGAATTCACACTGGTGAAAAGCCATTTGAGTGTAGTGATTGTGGGAAATGCTTTAGCTACAAATCTATCCTCGTTAATCACCAGAGAATTCATACTGGAGAAAAGCCATATGAGTGTAGTGAATGTAGGAAATCATTTAGACGACACTGCCACCTTATTCAACACAGTCGACTTCATTCTGGAAAAACTCCTTTTGAGTGTGGTGAATGTGGGAAATTTTGTAGTTGCAAATCTGAACTCCTTAGACACCAGAGAGTTCACACTGGAGAAAAGCCATTTGAGTGTAGTGATTGTGGAAAGTCCTTTGGCCAAAGTTCTGCCCTCTTTAAACACCAGAGGATTCACACTGGTGAAAAGCCATATGAGTGTAGTGATTGTAAGAAATGCTTTAGTTACAAATCTATCCTCATTAATCACCAGAGAATTCATACTGGAGAAAAGCCATATGAGTGTAGTGAATGTAGGAAATCATTTAGACGACACTGCCACCTTATTCAGCACAGTCGACTTCATTCTGGAAAAACTCCTTTTGAATGTGGTGAATGCGGGAAGTTTTGTAGTTACAAATCTGAACTCCTTAGACACCAGAGAGTTCACACTGGAGAAAAGCCATTCAAGTGCAGTGATTGTGGAAAGTTCTTTAGCCAAAGCTCTGCCCTCTTTAAACACCAGAGACTTCACTCTGGAGAGAAGCCATATGAGTGTAGTGATTGTGGGAAATGCTTTAGCTACAAATCTACCCTCATTAATCACCAGAGAATTCATACTGAAGAAAAGCCATTTGAGTGTAGTAAATGTAGGAAATCCTTTAGACAACTCTCCCACCTTATTCAACACAGTCGAGTTCATTCTGAAGAAAAGCCTTGTGAGTGGGGCAAGTCTGGGAAATCCTTTAGCAATACCTCTAGCTTCGTTCAACATCTGAGTGTTCACACTAGAGAAAGATCTTATGTGTGTAGTGAATGTGGAAAATCTTTTGGCTGCAAATCTGACCTTTTTAGACACCAGAGAGTTCACACTGGAGAAAAGCCCTATGAGTGTAGTGATTGTGGGAAGTCCTTTAGCCAAAACTCTACCCTCATTCAACACCAGAGAGTTCATACTGGAGAAAAACCTTATGAATGTAGTGATTGTGGGAAGTCCTTTAGCCAAAGCTCTGCCCGCTCTCAACACCAGAGAGTTCACACTGGAGAAAAGCCATATGAGTGTAGTGATTGTGGGAAATGCTTTAGCAACAAATCTATCTTCGTTAATCACCAGAGAATTCATACGGGGGAAAAACCTTATGAGTGTATTAAATGTAGGAAATCATTTAGACAATGCTCCCACCTTATTCAGCACAGTCGAGTTCATTCTAAAGAAAAGACTTTGAGGGGTAAATCTGGGAAATCCTTTAGAGATACCTCCTTCAACACCTGAGTGTTGACACTAAAGAAAGACCTTATGGGTGTAGTGAATGTGGGAATCTTTTAGCTACATATCTCACCTCATTCAACACTAGAGAGTTCCTCCTGGAGAAAAGCCATATATAGATATTTAGAGAGGTCCTACACCTGAAACTCGGCTCATTGAACACCAGAGAGAACACACTGGAGAAAAGCCAAATGACTGCAGTGTTTGTGGGAAAGGCTTTAGGTAGAAATCTAACCTTTTATTCACCAGAGAATTCATACTGGAGAAAAGCCTTACAAATATAGTGAAGGTGGGAAATCCTTTAGAGAAAACTACTGCCTTGTTAACATCGAGCTCATTCTGGCAAAGAGCCATATGAGTGTGGCAAATGTGGAAAATGTTTTAACCAGAGGTCTGGTTTTTCTCAACACTAGAGGTTTTACACTGGAGAAAGACCTTATGAGTGTAGTGAACATGGGGAATATTTTCGCTGCATATCCCACCTTAAACACCAGAGAATTCACAGTGGAGAAAATCTTTAAATGTGCTAAGGATGTTTTATTTCCTCACTCAGTATATTAACACTGGAGGAAACTCTTTGCCAACTATTTACCTGAATTTAAACATTTTTTAGTTGAACATACACTGTTTTAGATTTCTCATGAGTTTCAGGTACAAGTGCATCTTTAATGAGCTGCATTGTACTTTCTGTCCTGCCCAGGGCTATTACCAGATGTCAGTTTTTGTGGCTAAAGCTATTTCACCTCTACTCCTGGCACTGTACACTGCACAGTGTTTATCACTGAACTGCAGAGTGCTCAGGGAAGCTGACCTCTGTAACTTCTTTTGCTTGAAGAAATTATGAATACTCTGAGCTTTTGGCAGAATTCCTTTCACTCTGACTAGAGAATGGACCAGACAGTGTTAGTCCAGAGGACCTGTCCTCAGCTAATAAAGACTACCTCTTTGAACCAAGCTACCTGGCAAGGGTTGTTTGTATGGCTTTTATTAGATGTGTGTTTTAAGTCTGTTGGTCTATGTATACCACTTATATCTGTGTTCACTGAAAAATGGTTTATTAGTGCTAATGTTTTATATAGTTGGTTCAATATTTCTCATGTAATGTAAAATCTTGGGTTGCCCCTCAGTAACCCAAATGTCTACAAAACAGATGTGTATAAATTGTACTTCCTGCTACTTTGACTTCGCATTAGACCTCTCTAACTTTTGTCAGATAAATAGAACATTAACCTTTCACAATTATAACTTTAGCAGTTCACGAATTCCACTTTCTTTTGTTGTTTTATAAAATTATTAACCTTCCAGAAAGAAGCCAAAACCCCCAAATCAAAAGTTTTAATCTTCCTTTTACAATGTTTACTAATACATAACATATACATTATAAATATCTTACAGGTTTCTCAATTATATCTCAAAGGTGGGGAAAAAAAGATTAAAGTTATACACACGCACACAAAGTCATAATCTCAAACACTGAGAAATATATCAGTGGAAGAAAATTTTTTTATTTATCACAGAGAACAAAAATAAACAATATACTTGTTAATATACTTCCCCCTGAAGAGAATACACTGGAGAAGTAAAAGATTAGTTGTTGGGAATCCTTTTGGGGAATGATCAATAAGTGCATTGTCAGCAGTTAGGTATATATTTTTGTTTGTTAATCCTCACCTGAGGATATTTTTTCCATTGCTTTTCAAGGAGAGAGAGAAACATTGATGCAAGAGACACGTGAATTGGTTGCCTCCCAACATACCCCAATCAGGACCAGGGGTTGAGCCTCTAACCGAAGGACGTGCCCTTGTCGGAAATTGAACCTGGGACCCTTCAGTCCATGGCCGACGCTCTAACCTCTGAGCCAAACCTGCTACGGCTATTTCCCCCCCCCCGCCCCCTTTTTTTAAAGATTAGGAAGGAGGGAGAGAGAGAAGCACTGATGTGAGATGCATCAGTTGGTTGCCTCAGAGTTTGACATTAGAGGTGAAATTTCTGGACATCTGGGTCTTCCAGTCAGTAGTTCAAAGGGGCATAACTGACTTGTCCCTGAGTGAGTGGACTATATGGCCATAAGGGCTAGTGAGAGAGTACATTTGGCCAAGGGAGTTCAAAGATTTCTGAAAGATTTACTGATATGAATTTAAGAATGCCATTGGTTTTATTTCAGTTTTTTCAGGACATTGAGGATGATGAAAGAGATGGTGTAGTTTTTGAGTCAGAGGTAACACCTGATAGAGTTATTTTATAATGGCCCATGTGAAGTGGGTAACCCAACCACTTGATGTAAAACATTAGGATGACCTCAAGTTGGAAATAAAATAATTTTTAAAAATACGTTCTTGCCCAGCCAGGCATGGCTCAGCAGTTGAGCGTGGACTTAAGATCCAGGAGATCGCAATTTGATTCCCTGTCAGGGCACATGCCCTGGTTGTAGGTTCAATCTCCAGTTGGGGTGTGCAGGAGGCAGCCAATCAATGACGACTCTCTCCCTCTCCCTTCCTCTCTCTGAAATCAATAAAGATGCATATATTTTTTAAAATGTTCTTACTGATTTTTTTTCGATATATATTGATTTCAGAGAGAGGAAGGGAGAGGAAGAAAAAGAGAGAAACATCAATGATGAGTCATTGGTCAGCTGCTCTCTACACGCCCCCCACTTGGGATTGAGCCCACAACCTGCACAAGTGCCCTGACCAGGAATCCAGTCATGACCTCCTGGTTCATAGGTCAGTGCTCAACTACTGAGCCAGGCCAGCTAGGCTAAAGACCCTGTTTTTAAACGCAGTCACATTCTGAGGCACTGGAAGTTAGAATTTCAGTGCCTGGATTTGGGGCATATTGTTTCCCCCATAAGAGCCCCCGTGAATCTCTTCATCGAAAGGTAACTTTAAGGAGCTTCCTTGAGGATTATTTCATTTAAAAGCCCCAAAGTTATCTAACGGGAGCTATTTTCAAAGGGCAGATCTGCAGCTCAGAAAGGGTGCCCAGCTAGCAGGTGTCTGAGATGGGAAAGACTTAGTGTACATGCTATGGGCCAGCTCACCTTGTTCCTTTGCATCCTCTCCCTGAGTGAAATAGCAAACTCCTGCCAGACACCCAGATTTCTCTCCTGTCAGGTGGAGCTATCTAGAAATGATGCCGCAACATAACCACAGGACCCCTGGCCCCTCCACACATGTGGAACCTCTCCTGCAAACTCCTTCCCTCCTGTCATGGACAGCAGCACCATTGCCCTGGTATTTTGGATAGAGTCGTCATTGTGATCCAAAGCACATTACTGTCCTTCACCACCACATAAAATGATTTGTTTCCAAACCCTATTGGTCTTCCTCTCAATATGACTTCAGAGTCCTTTCTGTAATCAGTGCCCCAGTACTAAGCTGTCACTGAGTTATCACTGTCACTATCGTGGACTTTGGGAGATGTGCTGAAAACTGAAGGAAGCTAAGGCTCTTCCCACGCCTCCAGCCAGGTGAGTTTAGCCCTGATTGCTTTTCTGAGCCATTCTAGGTAAAATGCAAATCAGTGATTGATCATGCCTGCTAATTCCTAAGAACAGAATGATGGTGACTCAGGACGGGCCGTCCTGCATGTGGTTTTGTTCCTTCTCCACGTGAAAATGTCCTCACTTCATCATGCAGCCCTGAAACATCAGTGCGTCTGGAAGAAGCAATGGTTCTTGTGAGGAAGTCTCTCCTAAAGTGTTACTGAATTTATTTTTTTATTTCGTTTTATATCTTTGAATCTTTACTCATGATAGAAAATGTTTTCATGTCACATCCACAGGTCTCATCCAGAACAGACCGGGTTTCTATGCCTGCACAGAGATTTCTTAATGCGAAATATATTACAGCTATTGTAGAAATGTTTGATAGTCACCCTTCATCAGATTTGAGAATAATGGCTTGTCTCCCCAACATCTTCCAGCACTAACCTTGGCAGTTATTTTATATCACATGTACTGAATACATTTTGTTTATGTATGTGAGTCCTATGGAGTTACCATTGTACCAAAATATGTTTAAAATCAAATAGAATATGAATTAGCATTGATCCTACCAAATGTAGGTTTAAACTTTTATTCCAATTCTTTGGCTTTATATTTGCATTTATTTTGCAAATACTCATTCCTCATTTATGTTAATACATTTGTTTCCAAAGTGCCATGCCAATATTTATTGTAAAATAGCAAAGTTTAAGATGTCTTTGCAGGTAGTTTTGCTTTCATATACCAATGTTACAAATATAGTTAAAATTCTGTAATTTCAATTCACTTGCAGTGTTTCATAGAGAAAGACCACTAACTGGATATTCAATTCCTTTTTTAAAACCTTTGAATTTAGTGTTTTTGAAAAATTGAATTTACTTTAATATTGTTCAATAATTATACAGAAAGCCCCCACTGTAAGATTTTTTCCTTAACAGTCTAGCTTTAAATTCTGCCCCATCCTATATATATACAGTGCCCCTATATTTTCATTCCCCTGGGTACTCAGGAAAACTTTAGCATTCTCTACACACAGATTTGAACCTGGATTTTCACTTTGGAATGTATCCAGTTCTGTAGGTCAGTGTGGAGGGCCTCATCACTCGAGTTGCAGGTGTGGAAACTATTGTGCAGATAGGGCATGATGCATTTATCCAGCTCCGGTATGTAAACATCTAAAATGTTTCCATGAACACCTTCCACACCCATAAGCTCCCATACCCACCCTTACTTAATGCCCATTTAAATTGAGAAAGTATGTGTTAGGTTTAGCATTGGAGGATATTTGACCTGATAGTAATGGTAACAAATTTCTGGTTTTCAAAGGCTTTATTTTTTAGATAAGTTTTGGTTTTGCAGCAAAACTGAGAGGAAGGTACAGAGATTTCCTATGTATCTCCTGCCTCCACACATGCATAGCCTCCCTCATTATCAACATCGCTCACCAGAATTGTACATTTTTTCCAAGAATTAAACGACCTTGATACATCATAATCACCTAATGTTCATAGATTTCTTTAGTTGTTGCCTCTTGGTTTTGTAAATTCTGTAAGTGTGGACAATATATACTGATATATATCTACCGTTAAAGTATTATACAGCATATTTTCACTCCCTAAAAATCCTCTCTGCCTATTCACCTCCTCTCCACCCCTGGCAACCACTGATCTTTCTACTGTCTCCATAACTGTGCCTTTTCCAGAATGTCATATAGTTGAATTGGCACCAATGACCATTGGTTGACACTCTACATGTTTCACAGGGACCAAGCAATAAGTTCTGATAAGCTTTAGAGAGTCTCAGTGTTTCTAAACACTTAGGTGATCCTTTGTGGACAGCACCCCCTTCAAGGAAGTGTTGAGTAGACCCCTTATGAAGGAGTGAATTCCCTCCCTGGCCCTTAGACGCTGGACACACCACTTCCCAGCGTCTCCGGAGGTTCAGCGGCGCGGGACCCGTGGCCTTGGAAATTTGCAGCTGTGAGAACTACATTACCCAGAAGACACTGCGCCAGGCGCCATCCTCATTGAGCCAATGAAGGCTCAGAAGAGAGTCGATCCCTGTACGTAGGCCTCGCGCCGGGGCGGGACTTCCGGTGTCCGCCGTTAGGCGGTCCTTTTGGCTCCTCCGGGGTCAGCCGGCGCTTCCCGGGCGGCGGGGCCGGACGTGGGGCTGAGGCGGCCGGAGGAGACGGTGCGGGAAGAGTCGTCCCCGCCCCTCGGAGCCGGGTTTGGGGCGCTGGG